AGTTTGTTCTAAATGTTAATTTTTTTAACATTTCATGAAAAATGTAAATATTTCTAGCAAATGCATAGCTAAAATGACATTATTTTGTGTTGGGGCTACACTAAAAAATATTTGTATTAATTTTTTTAAGGTAAGTGATTGCACAAAATGAATTTATCTTAATTTCAAACACATTTTTAAATTAACTTAATCAGTGTTTTTAGTTATATCAGCTCTATTTTATTGAGTAGAGTTCACCTATTCAAGTCTGTGTTTTTGAGTAAATGGAAAGATCTGTTAGTGCTTGACGTTCATTTATGTTGTACATTTAAAAGAGTTTCTGCAATTAGCACAGCACAAATATGAAATTACTTTTCACTGGCATTAAACCAGCTATTTCTAATTAAGCAAACCAACATACATTAACAGTAGTTTAAAATGTGACGTAGCCACTTCAGCCTCTACTCGTCAGCATCTTTTAAACACAACTCTTTTACTTGTCCAACATATCTTAACTAGTTATTTACTTCACTCAAAAACACATCAAATAACTATTTTGTAATAACTATGTAATAATTAATTTCAACATTCACTCTCTTGACCCAGCATGCACCCAGCATTGAAAGCATGCTGGAACTAATAATGTATGTTAATGCAACAAAAATGATTCATGTCCCAAAACAAATGGATTAAGTAAACTAAAATGTTACATATATTTAAGTGGATTGAACACAACAAAATATATAGCAGTTGTGTTGTCTAACCAGCTAACCATGTCTAACCAGCTCAATTTGAAGACATTGATGAGCCCTTTGGCCTGTCCTAGCCTCTGTTTCCCTGAAGATTAAACTGCTCCAGTCTGCTTCGTCTCAATCTAGACTTCTTTTAAAATGTTACAGCCAAGAAAATTCACAGTTGGTTTCTAAGAACCAAACAAACCAGGACAGATACACAGAAACAGGATTACAGTGAACAGTGGGCTGTCTTTGTGGAGTGAAAACTTCATTTCAATTACAATACATTTGCTAAAATAAATATTTGTACTTAAGGTTAACTTAAAGTTTAGACAATTTGAGCAATAAAATTTATAAAAAGGTTGGTATATTACAAGACATTTTATCATTTATTCGGTCAAGTTTCTGTAGGATGTACAAAGTATTTCACCCCCTTGAGTTAATATAGATGTTTCACTCACTGGCAAGTCAGTACAGCATTTCCCAACTTTTAGGGTATTACATCCAAAAATTTGACTGGAAAAAGACAGACCTGAATGCTGCAGGGCAGATTAGGTAAGGATGAGACACAGTCAAGGTATTTGTCAGGCATTTGCATGAACTTTCGGTCTTGGCCTAAGCTCTCAAACTTTTCTCTCTCTCTCTCTCTCTCTCTTATATTGTGGTTAAAATATATAGTGACAGATTAAAGTGACGGTCAGCAAATACTGAACATGCTAAAGAAGATATGGTTTAAACTTTACCTAATGATTCAAAAGCTGCAGGGCAGATTAGGTAAGGATGAGACACAGTCAAGGTATTTGTCAGGCATTTGCATGAACTTTCGGTCTTGGCCTAAGCTCTCAAACTTTTCTCTCTCTCTCTCTCTCTCTCTCTCTTATATTGTGGTTAAAATATATAGTGACAGATTAAAGTGACGGTCAGCAAATACTGAACATGCTAAAGAAGTGGCATGGTTTAAACTTTACCTAATGATTCAAAATATAGCAGTACACAGTGTTACTGTTAATGCATCAGTTTGTTTTGACTTTGATTTAGAACATTGTATATTTATAGAACATTCTTTTTTACAGACAATATTGCATCCCATACTCGTCGTCTTCGCTCATTTACAATAATAGACACAATATAGCCCTCTAGATTTGACACATAAGTACTGCAACACTTCTGTTAATTCATACTTTAATGTCCTTATATGGAATCTTTTTATTGTCCTGGACTCAAAATGTTCATATTTAAACTATTGCAGACTGGCAATCTTCATGTAATATTTGTATAATGGCTAATCTGCAGCCAGGCCTCATCTTTGGACTTTATTATATTACAAATCAAGGGCTGATTTTTAGTAACAATAATACCTTTTTATTTGTGAAGATCACATTAAAACTGTCCTGGAAGTGTTGTATAATTCCTTCATCATTTATTTTCACTACTTTTCCAAAGGCTTCTATTTATATGGTCCCTTGTGACTTTTCAGTCTTAAACTGAAATTTCATCATACAAATATGAATTATATTATTATTATTATATAAACTATTATTGTTATGTCAGCAAAGACTAACATAAACATAAACCATTCAATATATATTGTGTGAAAATTATATAGCTGGGCCTAAATCATTCATCAAAATGAGATATGATGTATGCACAAAACAAAGAAAATCAAAGTAGGCTAACCTAATATTTGTATTTGGTGTAATTTTCAAGCTGTAATTTTGTGAAATTGTACAAAAATGTGAAAAGATTATTTAATTATGTATTTAAAGGGATAGTTCACCCAAAAATGAAAAATTATGTAATTAATTACTCACCCTCATGTCGTTCCAAATCCGTAAGACCTTCGTCAAGCGGGAGGTTGCAATTGCTGGAGGGTTTTACGACCCTTTGTGTGAGGGCATGGTAATTTGCAAATGTAATTCGCTTGGGGTGTTGATGCACAAACTAATAAAGATTCTTAGAACACTAATATGTTGCATAGGTATAAACATACAATATACACTCTCAATTAGATCATCCGAATACGAATTAATAGAGACCAAACACGGTATATGTAAGGTTACATGAATGATTGGTTCTATCATAAGCATGCATAAAATAGTCTACAATACAACAGATAATATACAAGACACCAATAATATACACAATGACCTGAAGGATATGTGTGTTCATTCAAAGAAAGGTTTTCCTATGAATTCATTAGTAGAAAAGTCCATTTCTACTGTGCATTGTGTCTCTTCCTTAAGAAAAAGGCAGTGATTTTCCCTACTTACATTCCATTAGGTCGTAAATGTATCTGGTGTCAGGGTTGCCATGGTAACCAGGGGGGGCCTGGTGTCGTTGCAGACATCCTGGCATCCAGTTTATTGGGTGAGGGGACTGTGACGATTTGTTAATCTAATGAATAACTGATTTGTTAAATCAAATGAAAAATTGTGTGTTTGATTGGTCCAGACGCTACACTACTCAGATGAGTACATATCCATGGTGTGAAGGTGTACATTTATAAAATTCTTCTTTGCATTTTATGAATTCAGGTGATATTTGTTCTGAAACAATGTCTCATTTTCATTTTGACATAGAATAAAAATATAAAAATAATACCAGTTTGTCAAAAAAATTGGCATTGCCACATTCTAAAACTTTTAAAGGGATAGTTCACCTAAAAATTCGGTCATTAATTACTTACCCTCATGTCGTTCCAAACCTGTAAGACCTTCGTTCATCTTCGGAACACAAATTAAGATATTTTTGATGCAATCCGAGAGCTTTCTGACCCTGCATAGGCAGCAACGCAACTGAAACGTTTTATGGCCCAGTGACCTGAAATTTGTGTCCTAAAAACTAGTGAAACTATTTTAAACCAATTTTGCCTAATTATTATGCATGTAGTTCATATCAGTGGAGGGACTACATGAAACTCATGCTCATTTAAAGACCAAAAGCACCACCATGTTCTAGAACAGACTAGCATTCGAGTAGTTCAGTCTAGAGACAAGTGCTTGGACAAGAAGTTTTGCAGCATGTTTATATAGGAACGTGAAGTTCATCTGGTTTCTGGCTGATGTGGATAGCATTATCTGTAAAAACATTTTATGGCCCAGAAAGGTAGTAAGAACATCGTTAAAATAGTCAATAATAAAATCAGTGGTTCAACCATAATGTTATGAAGCTACAAGAATACTTTTTGTGTGCAAAGAAAACAAAAATAACGACTTTATTCAACAATTTCTTCTCTTTCATGTCAGTCTTTGCCACGTGTTCACGAGAGTACCACGACGCATGCGTGCACTCCTCTGCTTGAAAAGCCACAGCTCATCCAGGTTCTATGTCAGAACGCGGGCTCCTGCATCAGCAGCACCGACCACACGCATGTGCCGTGGTACTCTCGTGAACATGTGGCAAAGACTGACACGGAAGAGAAGAAATTGTTGAATAAAGTCGTTATTTTTGTTTTCTTTGCGCACAAAAGTATTCTCGTAGCTTCATAAAATTACAGTTGAACCACTGATGTCACATGGACTATTTTAACGATGTCCTTACTACCTTTCTGGGCCTTGAATGTGGTAGTGGTGTTGCTGTCCATGCAGGGTCAGAAAGCTCTCGGATTTCATCCAAAATATCTTAATTTGTGTTCTAATGAACGAAGGTCTTACAGGTTTGGAACACATGAGGGTGAGTATTAATGACAGAATTTTAATTTTTGTGTGAACTACCCCTTTAAGATAAAAAAACAAAACAAATCCTAGCTATGAATTAGCAACCCAAAGACGGTAAGCCTTTTTATTCTGAAATTTTTTTTTTTTTATTCACTTTAATTTTAAAATATTTTTTCCTCCACCGAATGCTATTAAACCTGTTATATAACTTGAAGTGGTGCATATGACACTGAGGTAGAAATGTTAATGACAGAAGAAAAGACATAAATGACAAGAGTTCTCTGGTGACGAATATACAATGTTGAACACTGTGAACAAGTTAAACATTTTATGTGAGTGTGAAACACAGGGTCAAAACTACTCATATTTGAAGAAACATCCAGCTGTAGGCTATGTCCCACCACCCCATGAACTGATTGGGTAAAGTTAATCAGATTCTCCAGTCAAATTTAAACATCTTTAAAGAGAAAAAGAGGGCAAAACACAGAAAATGTGAGCTCGTAGTGAGCTGTCTACCTAGACTACATATTATCAGGCGTATAGGCGTATTCCGAGCCATTGTAAATTCCCGAGGGGCTGGAGTAAAGGAGGCGGTGAAGAAACAATAGAAAAGTAGCTGAAGTGAGCCAGACCTGATATTGCTTTGAGACTAGTACCGAACTAGGAATAGTGGCCTCTAAACGATGCAATATTGTATGTTTTCCCATGTATTCCAGAGCTCTGATTGTGAAACTGAACGTTTCTCCTGGCTCTTCCCTTCTGGCTCGTGTCGTGTAGCGTCAGAACAGAAGAGCTCCGCTCAGCCACATCAGGAAGTTAAACACTAACGTTAATCAGCGGACAGCCCGTTAATTCACCGCCGTTAAGGTAAGAGGAATACAGATATTTTATGTTTACCTCTCGGGCTGCGTGTAATTGTTCGTCTAAATTCAGTTGTGTCGAATCTAGGGTTTGACATCGTCGAAAGTCACGCTGAACAAAAGAGATCATTTTCTCTTGCTTTGGTGGGATTATAGAATTTATTACTAGAGCATTCAAAGAAACAGAGAGAAGAGAGCTGTGATCCAGAGGACTTTACTGCCTTGCTTAATCTCCTAAATATCAATAAACTGCTTTTTGAAATTGTTCTTTTAAGGCAAACATCGGTAAACAGATTGTAACTGTGTCTGGAGACATGAGAGAAAATAGTTCTTCTTAGAAGTAACGAGATTAAGCCGGTAGACTGTGTAAGATTTCAGGGGTTAAGTAAACCAACATGATTTTTTGAACTTGACACTTTAGCAGTAGCCTACCATGTTTTGGGATATGTACCTAGAAACATCATGTTTTGGGGCTAAATATGTCATCAACCAAGAAGCACCATGAGATTAATGTTTTTTTGGGCATAGTAACATGGCAATACCATTTTTGTTTGATAATTTACCATTATATTCTTTGATGTCCCTTGGTGTACCATGCCATGGCATATGCACCATGGTACTAGCAGTTGATGCCATCACTGTATGGTACAATTACACAGTAAAAGTATAAGTGAGAATCTGGCAATGAAAACCCCATATTGATTAAGCAGTAGCTAATTAGATGTATAAGATCGGACTTTTGATTTTTGACTCCTGTGATTTTGAGGTTTTGTTTGATTGCTGAGCACCTTTGGATGCCTTTAGAAATATTTAATATTGATCTTGGAAGACATTCCACAGTTCCTTAGAATGAATTCAATGAATGCTTCTTGTCAGCTTTCAAATTGCTTTGGAGGCAACATTTCAGTTGAAACTCATTGAAACCCCAATTAACCAGTGAAAGTCTGTCACTGTGTCTAGGGACTTTCTGGTTCCATCTTTATTCAAAAGGAGAGCCCTTTGTGTCCTCATCTCACAGCAACAGGCTCTGACATTCTTCAGGCCCCTTAAGAATCCATGGCACTTTCTTCTTTGGTTTGCTACCTCCTTTTTTGGGGAATCATGTGGTGCAATTAAATTAAGTGTGAGCTCATTCTTTGTATTTCTTAGATCTGAAGCATTCTGACCATTCAGTAAACAGCCTATCAGTCTAGTTGGGCAGCTTACAAAATAATTATACAATCATTCTTGATGACTGAAAAGAGAAGTTTATTGGTAACAACAAAAATCTCTATACACTGGACATACTTTATGTGTGTGTTTGTGTGCGTATATATATATATATATTCACTGGGACATCAAGCTTTGACATAGTGCTGTGATTGCCTGACTTTTCAGTTTTAAATGATAAATCAGTGCTTGATACCAAAAGAAAAGACGAACCCTAACCTGACATAATAATCATCCATTCAATAAATTCATATATCACTTGCCTTCAGAGCACTGTCATTGAAGGCTTTAAGAAAACCCTTACCTGTCATCATGTACTCAGCCTCAGTTTACTTAAACTAGGAATTTTTTAGTCTGAAATGTCATGCCTTTCTTGTGTTTATATTATGACTGCATTAGAAAGTAGAATTTGTTTTTTTCAAATTCTTTATTTTACCACCTTACATACCTGTACAAACAGGCATTTGCTGCTTAGACAATCTTGCGGTATTACAGTAAGGACCTGTCATAACATAGACCTAGGTGAAAGTATTGTATAGCTTGCAGCACTATCCTCTGATGGGTGAAGTGACTGAAACTTTTTGTTTTATGAATATGTTTGTCATGCTAATATTAAGTATTCCAGGTATTTCTTGCCTCTTCAAACCTGTACCCCTCAGTGGTCATTTTTACTTAACCTAAACTGGCTCCTCAATGAAAAAATAACAATACTATCAGTCTGTAATCAAGACAGGTTTCTTCCATTCAGTAAAACTTTATTTAAGTAAAACTATATTTTAAGGTATTGACTCAACATTGACCTGTTTATCTGACCAATAGCAGATGAGTAGAGTGTTCAGGAAACCATTATAATGTCATGGCAATTCGTAACTATTTCACAATCTGGTGACTAATTCGTATAATCTCATTTGTATGTTTTCATACAATACACTAACACTGTTTTTAACCCAGCATTTTTTAGATTGTGCCGTGTTACTAGGATTTACAGAGAGGTCTATGAACTGGAAAACTGCTAAATTAAATGGCATTGTTCCTGGTACAGCTATCAGTGTGCTAATTCAGAGCTCTTTAGCAATCTAGATTTATGGCCTTGATTATAACTTTCTCAGACAAATGTTTCTCTTTTTTCTTTATAGATTTGTTCATTCGGTGTCAGTACATGGCTATTCTCAGGATGGTCCTAGAGCTCAGGAGTTCTTCTGTGGTGCTGTTTGAAGAGATCTGGTGCTGATTCAGCTGTGATGACAACACCAATGGACCTTCACTGATGTGCCTTAGCTGCTGCTTGAATAAACCATTTCCTCTCAAGTACTGGCATACAGGTTCTGCAGAATGTGTCACGTCATAGTCACATGCCGCTCTATGTTATGGACCTTGATGAGCATTGTGGTGGCATTTGCTGAGATGGTGGCATTTATGAGCGCCGAATGGCTAGTGGGATATCCAGATGGTTCTGAGTTCAACTTCACCGTCACCGCTTCACACCACAGCGACCAGCGCACCCTGGGTATTTATAACCGCTGCATCAAGGTGGCACAGCAGAAGGTGCTCCAGTGTGGGCCCTACGCTACAGACTTCATGGAAATAGCCAGTGGCTTCTGGCAAGCCACTGTTATATTTCTAGTCGTCGCAATCTTTCTCCTATCTGTAGTGGGCATCCTTTCGGTTTTCAGCATGTGCTTCCAGAGTATCTTGAAGAAGAGCATATTCAACGTGTGTGGCCTGCTTCAGGGAATAGCAGGTAAGATGGGAAAGTCTACTGTAACACTGCTTTCTCAGATTCTTGCCAGTCTTTTGTTGTGGCAGTTGGTGGTCATCTTTAACTTTGAACCACTATCAACAAAACACAGAAAATTAGGGAGTGTATTTAAAGGAGACACTGAAGTTGCCCCCAGAATGCTCTGAGCTCACGGTTTCAACATCCCTCTAGTGACCTCAAAGACCATGCTATCTAATTATGATCTTCCAACACTCTCATCATGCCATTACAAGAAAAGACAGTCTAAATATTACAGCATTGGAAATGTTACTTCAGTGTCTCTCCGGTGTCTCCAGTGTTTATAAAACCTTGTTGAGCTTGTCCTATTTCTGATTTAAAATGCATACAGAGGTACAAGGTTTGAAAACCTTCAAACCATTAAACATAAGTGTATCTTTCTCTTATTTTCCTGAGGTGGTTCACCAAGGACTGAATTTATGAAAATCTTCTTTAAAAATAAATAAATAAATAAAAAATCAATACTTCAACACTTGTAAATAATTTTTTAATGTGAAGTGAATGAAATGCGTTAGTTTAACGGCATTAAACAGAATTTATTTGCTGATAATTTGGCTATTTTATAATTTGACAAAACAATTTAATAATAATAATCGTAACCAAATAAATTAATTAAACATCTTTACATCTGTACATTAAACATCTGTGCTACTTACTGGTATTTAATTTTATTTAACTTGATGAAAAAGAAGTAACGACAGAGCTTTTCTTCTGTGTTTTGATGTCAATTTGAGTGCAATGGATTATCAAAAAAGAAAAAAATGTTAGGGAATGCACTCTAAAGAACAATTCACACCATACAGACAAACACCAATAAACAATTTGGCTGTTGGATTTAGAATTTTATGAAAAATAACTGTCATGTTCACACTGTCCCAACAGACAAACATGTCCAGAAAAACATCCATTTTTAGGATAATTTGCTAAGCACGCCCAGCACTTGATCCAACTAACTCGTGTTTGATGTCGTTTGTCTGTGAGGTGTGAATTGGCCTTAATAGTCAATTGTGGAGGGGCAGGGTTTAAAGAAGTCCGGCATTTGTCACCAGAGAGAAATCTGACATTGTCACCAGAAGATCAAGTTATGACAATTTGATAAAAATAAAAAAAATCCATTGACAAATCATTCACACTGTATAACATGCATTTAGAAAATAGGGTGAATTTTTATTTCATGCTGATCTGAATGCTTTGTGAATCCGGCCCCAGGAATCCACACCTACATTCGTTACCATTTCTCAAACCAGCTCAAAGGAGCAGAGCTGTAATGTTGACTGTGGCAGGGCATTCTTAGTCAAAATACCAGGGACTAACAGATCAGTCATGATAATGCATCTTACTTGCAGTCATGTCTGGAAACACTAGAACAATACAGTATTGTGGTACAATAAAAATATTGTGGTTTATTTGATAGAAAAACAAGACCAACTACAGGTACAACCAAACTATGTAGCTTTTGTATAATTTCATTGAAAGATTTACAACATGGTGATTGAGTAATTAGTGAAAAGTGAGAGCATGACTTCAGAGACAGGATCTCACTTGCCTATTTAGAATAAGAACTCCGAATAAAATGGAGGGATCACAGTGACCTGCTCTGATTGGTATGAAGATTAGATCAGCAAGAGTTCATTCTTTGCCTTTTAAACAGTATTACAACAATTAAGTCCCAGATGTTAAGACAAATATCTATTTAAAGCATAATCACATAGCTTCAACAGGCACAAAATGACACTGAATTGAAATTGTTTGAACCTTTCATGTTGTAAAGATTTTTTTTTGCTTTTTTCTGATGATGTTATCACACAGTTCAAGGGGGCTACAAGGTCGTTGTCGGCTTCTAGTTTTGACTGAGTGTGTCTTCAGGGAAAGAGGAACTTTAAAGAGAAAAATGAAGTTAGCATTCAGTTTCCAAATATTAAAACTAAAATACCATGTAAAGTCCCATTCACACCATTTCCACAGTATGGTGCAAATTTGAACTAATAGATATCATCATTCTTAATCACAGTACATATTAATTGTTTTGTATTACAAGTTTTCTTCAAGTGTTATGTTTTAATATGCAAATGAGGAATTATCTAATGAAATATGCATTCATTTGCATACAGTACATTTCCAGAACAGAAATCTGAACAATGGATAAAGCCAGTTTCAAAACTCTTCTTTCATTTTCATTTTCAGTTTTCACAGTTAAATGAAAACTCTATTTGAATAGAATTTGGATATCTCCATTAAAAAAATGCTTTCAATGGCCAAAAAATAAGTTGTGTAAATAATTTAGTTTGCCATATTTTTAGGAATAAAATGTAAATCAGGAAAACCCCTTTGTAAAAACCTTAGATAGGAATAAAACTGGAAGGATTGGTGTATGTAAGTGCTACTGAAGTGGAGATTTCTGATTCTGATAGTCTGAAGATATGTATGCAAGCAAAATAACCTACAATCTCAAAATTGACCAGTGCAAAACAACGGTGTCTTAGTTTAATTCTAATTCTATGAGAATAGGGAAGTCCACACCACGGCTATAACAATAACGACACTGAGGAACGATATCATTGGAATCACTTTCAGTTGATGAACAATAAAAACATTGATGTCCAATCAGAATCCACCCAATCTGTAAATTGTTCAAGCTTTTAAAGAAGCAGGCGACAGAAATGCAGCGAATACTTCTAATAAACAGACTGTGGACACTAATATGGTTATCGGTATAGTTGTCGTTATAGTTATTGTTCCTAGTGTGAACGGACCTTAAGAGTTGGATGAATGACTAAATCCATCCTTCTTTAAAATGTGTTTCTGATTTGTTTCAGCTAGTTATTGTTAATAGTTATATTAATTTATATTCATTAACTTGTTCCACACCGTCCACCTTGCAATCACCCAGAACACCTTAGCAACTGTAATTTGTAACATTTCCGTTTTCTCTTTTGCAGGTCTATTCCTCATCTTAGGTCTGATGCTCTATCCTGCAGGCTGGGGCTCTAAGAAGGTGGTTGACTACTGCGGTCTGGATGCTTCCCCATATAAAGTGGGCCTGTGTTCTCTGGGCTGGGCTTTCTACACAGCCATAGGAGGCACTGTTCTCACTTTCATTTGTGCCATGTTTTCGGCCCAGGCTGAGATCGCCACCTCCAGCGACAAGGTGCAGGATGAGATTGAAGAGGGACGGAGTCTCATTTGTGTGCTGTGAGATGTGAACACAAACCACTCAAACGAAAAAGAATCAATTGTGTCCCATATTTACTGATTGAAATGACTGTTGCATAAATAGGAATGTATTTCAGACCTGTAGGTCTACTGATCAAAGTCTTTACAAATGTATTTGCTTTTGCTTTCTGACTCTTGTCTCAGCCTATCGCTGTATCGCCATTGCAAAATATACGTATAACAAATTATTTCTATGAAAAAACCTTTAGAAACTAACAAATGCATTAACATTGTGTTTATAAGCAAATGCATTTTACCAGTACTTTGATTTATTTGTTACAAAATTTTACATGGACTTCTAACTAATGGATGAAACCGTTTTCAGACTGTTTTAAAGATTTAATTGAAATCTGTGATAGACCTAGTCTATTTAAACTGTAAAATAAGAAGTGATTCTTGAATAAGAAGGTGTTTGAAGCACTTTCTGCCTCTCAATCATGTTGCACGTTCACCGCGAGCAGTCCATATATGGGAAGCTGAGAGCATGATACGGTGAACTTTCAACTGTTTTTGAGTATTTTTGTTGAGTGCATTTTATTTTTCATCTGTCAACAATGGCTTATGCAACCAAATGGACTAAAGAGAAAAAATAAAGTGCATGTCGTAATACCGACACTAGTGGTCTTGGCTTCTTGAGAATGTGTACGCGACGGGAAGTAATTTCTCAATACGGTCCCAGGTCAAAAAAATGCCAAAGCTCATAGCCCTTAACATACACTAAATCCACACTTTCTGTAATACCACTTCAGAGCAATTTTCGTGTATCCCATCATTCATCATATTCAGGAACTCGCATGCAATTGCAAATTGCCGAGAAAAACATTACAGTATAAGTTAAACTAGTAAATATCATTTAGTAGTAAAGAATGTATTTTGTAAACTGCTTTTATCTTTGCTGCTTTTTATCACATTAGGAAAACCACAATTAAATTGCTTTCTGTTTCATAGGAACAACCGGACAGACATTTAGAAGTTTATAAAGGGCAAAGAATTAAAAACCAACATAATACTTTGTGAAAACATGCATTGGGTAAAAGTTATATAAAGACTTGAGGTCTGCACGCCTACTTTAACACTTGGGTCAAATAGAGGAAATACGTCATGCAAGTAGACAAGTGCTCAAGTGCAAAGACTGCAAGTGTGGGTATTGGGGGATTAATTCGGTGGATGCATTTGGCAGAAGTTTTGGATAGAATTTCGTGAAATACGCACAAAATAAAGGTATAAATAAAATCATAGCAACTGAACGCAAAAACCCTGTGAACCCTGACATTGTTTACAAACTTTAACGCTTTTGTACGCATTTCTACTCTCAAGAAAGGGTGCGTTTTTGTATACTAAACAGCATTGTGAAATATTACTCCCCCCCCTTTTTTAATGTGTAAGTTGGACATTTTTCTTGTGGTTGATCTTGAGATCTGAGAAATACAGGATTTGATTGACATCTGTTCATTTCATTGCAGTCCTGTATGTTACATTAATATGTTAAATAAGTGCATAGAAATAAGTATCGGTTTTGTTTACTCAGATTTTATGTTTATATATACTGTGATTATTGTGACATACAAATATTAGTACAGTGTACTGCTACATGAAAATTCTTATTGCCTGTTCCACAGTGAACTCTATTTAAAACCTTATTGTGTGTTATTAGAGGCTAAACAGAAACAGGAAGTTGTTGATCTCAGGAAACAGAATTCAAAAAGGAACATCCTCTACTGTTTTCCTTATCAACACACCCAGTGCATGCAAGTTGTGTCAAATGCACAATGGCAGGGCTGGACTGGGGTTAAAATTCGGCCCTGGACAAATCCAGTCCATCCGGCCTACAAATTCCACTGTGAATCATTCAGTTAAGCGGTCTAAATGTATTTGTCTGTATTTATATATTCTGTGGAAGGCCTAGGATCAAGAAATGTTCGTCCAATCAAAACGCTCGTTCCGAGCGTTTTAATATGTTTTCCTACCTGCCTGTCAGTATGTATTAGCATACCTCTGCGCACCCTGTTCGTGCAGACAGGATACGTCATCAGCTCGTTCACGCACGCTGTGCAGACAGAGCAAGGATGGCAGGCAAACATCAACAACCCGATCTTCCTTCCTGGTATTGTAGTACTTTTAAAGAGTTCTCACCA